TAATTATTTTTTTCTTTCTAGTTTCAGATCTGGAACAGTTTTTGCTCTGGTTAGTCTATGATCGCTGCCTGTTTGAATTACACTGACATCTTTTATTGTAGCAATTTCGTTCTTAGTGGTTTCATTTAGTGCTACCCAAGTCCATTTTCTGATCGATTTTTTCTTAAAGAATGCATTTACAGTTGGCATGTTTTGGCAGTGTGCAAACTGAATGAGTCTTTCTCTTCTTTCATTTGTCTTACCAATTCCATACTTTCTCACGACTTAATAATTTAAAATTTAAAATGTAAATTTAAGATTTTTCTGTTTATTGATATACCCTGTTGTTCCTCTGGTTCCTCTGATTCCAGTACAGATTGACAATAACCCGTATATCTCGACTATCTACATTCTTTAGTTTTAACAGTAGCAGTTATATGTCGCTATGTAAAGCGTTGTTGTGTTATTTGGGTAGCGGTTTAGACTCTGCAGATTCTCAGCACTCTCAGCAAGCCTCCTGACTTGATCATGAAAGCTCCCAATTTAAGTGCCATTAAGGGTCTACGGAGAATGAGGGCCATGATTTGAATGTCTCGTTCATGTTAGGGGTTGTGAGGTGTACCTTACCACGCTGCCTCAGTGCGGGTTGGTAAGGGTTCGCTGGTGTGTTCCGATTATATATTAAGCGACTTGTGTCTTAGTGGACGTAGGAGGTAGGATTCATTGGCAGAGCTGGCTGACTTTTTAGATCAGCTGTGACCCATTCATCTCTATCAGTTACCAGGCATTTACCGTAGATTTTAATGGTTTGCTCTCCTCCGGTACCTTTACCAACTTTTAATCCCCATTTAATATGGAAATTGAAAGCCATATATGGCGCAAGAGTCGTTACGTATATGAATCGGTATCAATAGGATCTTTTAACGTTATTTCAGCATAACAATGCATCGTCAACGATGCAGGTTGATACAAATTTAAACACAGACCGGCCAGCGAATGTCCCTTCTTATTTTCCTACAAAAGTGCCATCTACTTTGATGGCCACAAACGAAGACGATTTAATAAAGACGTCTGTTTCTTCAGCTCTTCGAAATTTGCAAAAGTTCACGATTTCAGCAAAAGTTTTGCTATCGCTTTGATGAATTGAAAGCCAAATATATACAGGATGACAATCGGGAACCGGATGTTTTTAGAACGCATAGTACAAAGCTAGTTTGTATACGATACGTTTAGCCGAAATCAAGAAACAGTGATCACTACGCAGCGGCTTTTTCATACTCACTGTAATATTGGTAGGCGTGGAGCGGTTCCATCTCGCAACACAATCTTAAGATGGATAAAGAATTTTAGAACAACAGGCAGTGTCATGAAAAAAAGCAACAAGATCCGAATAGAACAGTAAGAACTCTTGTAAACGTATAGCGATTTGAGAGACGCAATTGAGCTAAACATTAATCGAGAACTGTTTAGAAAAATTGCATAAGGACTTAAAATTTCATCCCTACAAATTGCAGATTGTCCAGAAATTAATGAAAAGATGTTGAACAACGTGAGGATTTCGCTACAGGAATGCAAGCTCTTTTGGAGGATAACTAAGGTTAGCATCTTCTAATGAGCAACGAAGCTCGTTATCAGTTGAATGGAACCGTTAATAATAAACAGAATTGCAGGTACTGAACTCCTGAAAACCCACGAAATCTCCATGAGCGTTCTTTTCATTCCCAAAAAGTCACAGTGTGGTCCGACTGGCATTATTGGGCCATATTTGTTCTAAGAGGCTGGCCATACCATCACTGTTATTTCTATTCGCTACGTTGACATGATCCAAAATTTTTTGATTCCAGAACTACGCAGAAAATGGATAAACCCAAGGAATGTGTGGTTTCAGTAGGATGGTGCCACGGCACATACTGCCCATGCTTCAATAAATATTCTTCGCAATCTGTTTCCAGGACAACTCATTTCATATTTCGGAGATTTGTCGTGGCCTCCTTGGTCTCCAGACCTGTCAATTTGTGATTTATTTTCTATAGGGGTATTTAAAGTGTCGTGTATATGAGCAGTCATCGTAAATTGATCAAATTGAAGAACGCAATTCGCCAGGAAATCCTGACTATTGATCGAGCGATGTTAGAGCGTGTGATGGAGGATTTCATAAAGAGGATCGTAAACTGATCTTATCTTGATGACATTATTTTCCATACTTAATTAGATTGTAAATGGCATAATATAAGCTTCATTTTGATGTTAATAAAATATTATTTATGGCAAAATTCTTATGTACCATTTAGTTCAAAATCGTCCTGTTCTCAATTGTCACACTATACATAGATGGCGCAGGAGCACAATTAGATATAAATTTTCGTGCCATCTTATGTTGAAAGGAATGATGTAGATGATTTAGGTATCATATGATCAGTTTGAGTATGTTTATTTATAAAAAAAACTTTATTAACAAAAGCATTCACTTTTTGTATTCCACAATCTGCCATATTTGATAAATTATGATTATGTTAACGGATAGTGGATTGTTAGCTACCGAAAAATAAAGTGTAGCACAAAATGAGAAACCAACGCGTTTGTTGACCCTAAACAATGTACAGGACAACCCCTTACTGAGCTACAAGTTAAGTGTTTTACCATTAAGAGTAAAGCAGACACATATCTTAATGTTTTTATATTCAACTATACGGGTTCTGGTCTAAAAAAATTTAATGAATCGATAATTTTCGTTGTATTAGTTATTTATATTGAAAAACAAAATAACATATACAATATTCTTGAGCGTATATATGAGGCATATAATGTGAAAATTCACAAAGAAAACACAACTAGTGTTAGGGATATCAGGTTTTCGATCAAAAAATAAACTCGTCACCTTCTGCTTCTGATTCACATTCAGTATATGTCTACATCATTCGGATCATATTTAGACTCTGACGATGGTAGTATAATGATTGATGATCCCCTAAAATCCTTAAGTTTTTGTTTAGTTATTTTTTTAGTGCTTTACTTTGGCCCTTTGCTCTTCTTTAGTCACAACTACAGCTTCAAACGCAAGTTTTTCTGGTGTAGCTGTAAAAATGTTTGTAGTTGCTCGCTTTCTACCCTTTGTTGAAGTCCTGGGCCCGGCTTTAGGATGAGGTATGATCATTTCTGGGCTACAATAGTAAAAGTGCCAGAAGTGAAAGGCTAGTTATTGTGCTCTATTGGTGTTTGTTGTAACTATTAATTTTGTGAAATATCTCCATTTGCAGGATGTTATCTAATTATTTGAGGTGTGGTGAAAATGCCAGTAGAAGTAGAAGGCTGGTTTGTGTCCTCTATTAGTGTTCGTTGTAATTTTTGATTATGTGAAATCGATCCAGTTGAGGAATGCGGCCTAATTATGTCAGGTGAAAGTGTTTTGTTTTGTGTTGTGTGATCCGCAGTTTCAACCACTACCGGTTTGTCCAATATAACATCCATGACAACTTAAACACTGTAATTGATATTGGCGACGTGCAAGTACTTGGATGTGATACGAGAAACGATCGTGCGCGAGTAGCGGAGAAATCTTGCATTTTTTACTGCACATTTCATAGATTTCATAAATTCATATTATCAATTGTCATATTTCATACTCGTTTGTTTATTTACACCTTCTGTCACTGTGGGATTTAGGACATGCTGTGTTATAAATTGTAAAAATACAACAAAAAATTGTCAATTTAAGGTTTATTCGTTTCCAACTTCGAATCACAAATTACTACAAAGAGAAAAGTGGATTTATATCATAAAAAAGCATAAGTAACATAACCTAAATTATGCATTATTCTTGCACCCGATTTTAAAGTCAGTTTGAAATAAATAATAAATAAAAGTTCACTTTTAAGTGTAAATTTTAGTTTCATAACACTCACTAAAGTTCATTTTAACTCAAAAATCAAGTTTAATGTTATCCATATTAACAGTAATGCTGTAATTTAATAATATATTTATTTGTTTGTACACTACATACAACGTTTACCTTTTAATATCATACCGACCTCAATCTTAGTTTTCTTCTTATTCTTTTTTGGGGCTACGTCCTTGACAGTTATCCGGTAACCTCGATCTAACATGAAAGCGCAGTAAATTTTGCTGATTTACGACACCAGGTGTCGCTGTTCTGAACTTGCACGGTCCCAATATGATATTCCTAATATACATCACTGATGTCCGATCTTTAATTTTCGAGAATATGGTTTTGCATTTAAGGTAGCTGTATCTGCTAATTTTTATATTTGTGTGTCCTTAAACAGGGAAGTATATTGGTTTGTTAAATTCGGAATATACGGTAGTTTTTTATATTTAAGATCTTGTAGGTGTTGATCTAATTGTCCATTATAAAACCGTGTCTTGAATATTAGGTGTTTTAGTATATCCTTAAGATAACCGTTATTTAGAAACAGTTGGAATAATTTGTTTGTTTTGGTATAAAAATTGGTTGTCGCTGACGTGTTCCATTCTATTTTTCATGGTACTAACGGTATCACATTTTTAACTTTTAGGATGATGAGAAGATTGTAAACTATTGATACCAGTCTAGTATAACATGATTATTAGATTTGCGGATGACTTTGGCATCTAAAATTGGTACACTATTAGTATCCTTCTCCATTTCAACAGTAAAGTGTATTTTTTGTCGAATGAATTAAAAACTTTTAACCTTGTCTCTATATGATCTTGTACAATTCAAATTTTTGTAAATTGGGGTAACTCGACAAAATATGAACAACTGGATAATTTTTAATGCCGGAAAATCTGGGAGACTTCAGACTTCTTATCTCACCAATCATGCTACTACTTATTACAAAATACATAAATCGCATAGGTACTTATTATCAATTGCATCATTAAATATAGGTCTTAATTGACAATTTGCTAAAATTTCAACTCTTAATATATTTGATAAACACTTGAGAACTACAAGAAAAAAACCATATAAAGAATATTAGAATTCTTTAACTGTATTGTGCCTAATAACTATATTTTTTCAGGTTTACATCTGACTTAACAAACTAAATTTACATATAAACGATGTCCGATACTTCAGAGGACACCATACAATCAGATAGAACAAGCGAAAAAGAAGACAGCGTTTGTAGAGATTTTGCGCGCGGTTTATGCGATAGGAAATTTTGTAAATACAAGCACGAGAACGAATCCAAGCTGTTGAATTTTTGCCACGATTTCCAGAACTACATCTGTCCCAGACCATTTTGCAAGTAAGTAACAATCGCTAACTCAGGTCAGGTATAAATATAGATATATACGAGGGATCCAGTCAATTCCCATCTACGTTCATTTGTCGCGAAAGCTCGAGTTTTGTGTTATATTTTTTACTGATTACCAAATTCGCAGCCAATATTTTCTCCCCCAGATTAATACAGGGATACGCAATTGAACTGTTACCAACTTCACATCGATATATCTAGCAAATCGATAATGACAGCTACGTCAAAGTTGGCCTGATAACACTTCAGTATATTGTTTATAAGCCGTGACAAGTATTTGCATTTAAGTTTTATACATAACAAAAGTTATTCGCAATGGAATTTAATTGTTTATAAGCCGTCACAAGCATTTGCATTTAGTTTTATACATAACAAAAGTTATTCGCAATGGAATTTAAACGTAAAAGTGTCATTGCGTTATATTTGGCTGGAAAATCACAGCCAACTATTGTTCGTCAGCTCAAACACCTCAAAGTGAATAAAATGTTTGTGTATCGCACCATAACTCGTTATAATGATTATTCTTAGCATTGTCAAACGCTATGGTGGTAGACGAAAAAAAAAAACAGCTCAACTTGAGCGAAATCCAGAACTGAAAATATCCCTGCGAAGCATGCAACGAATATTGAAAGAGGATTTCAAGGTCATGCCTTACAAGTTCCAAAAAGCGCATAATCTTACACCAAAGCAAAAAAAGTTCGACTTGAAAGAACAATGGAGTTGTTACGCGTGTACGAACGTGGCGAATTTCCGAACATAGTGTACTCTATGAGAAAAATTTCCCTGTTGAGCAGTTCATAAAATCTAAAAATGATCGTGTTTACTTGACCGAACGCATCTACGAAAGTTTGAGCTTACGAAGAGCCACCCGAAGTAATTTCCCATCTCAAGTAATGGCATGGGCAGCTGTAACCGCCGATGGACGCTCTCCAATCGTTTTTATTGAATCTGGTGACAAAGTCAATGCAACTTATTATTGGGAAGATGTTTTAGAAGCTGTTTTAGAGCCCTGCGCACGCAAACATTTCGGTTATAGACCATGGACGTTTCATAAAGCTAGTGTGAATCAAGAATGGTTAAAAAACCATGTTCCACACTTCATTTCATCCACACAATGGCTTTCGAATTCGCCAGACGCAAATCCGATGAACTATTCCATCTGGTCCATTTTGGAGAGCAAGGTGTGGACTAAAAAATATGCCAGTATGGATACGCTGAAGAAAGCAATTATACGTGAATGGGCCAAAATACAGGAAGATCACATTCGTGCAGCATGCAACTCGTTTTTTGATCGTTTGAAGGCCATAGTCAAGGCAAAAAGGTGACCACATTGAGCTAAAGTGAGTAGATTCTGAAATTTTGAATATTTTCACACATTTTTGTCATTTGAATCAATAAAAATAATTTCACACAAAAAAAAATATGGTCGTTTGAATAGGTAACAGTTCAATTGCGTAACTCTGTAATGTCCTATCTGACAGATAGTTCTCTGGAGGATAAGCATTTAGTCATAGAATCAAATGCACCCGTCTTTTCACGTCAAATTCTGTTGTGGATGTTACTTCTGGCACAGTATAAAGAGGTTCCACAGTAAAACTACTCGTCTGTCGGCACTTTGATCTCAGGAAGTAATACCGGCAAAGTACGAAATTGGTAATCCACCACCGTTAACCTTACAGAGCCGTATTAAAATTTTCTGAGTCTACTACTATTAATTTATTTAAATAAAAAATGCGGCTTCCCATATTTAACTGTCCAGATGATCTCACTAAATGTTAATATTACAAAAACAAAGGGTTTAATAAATTAAAAACAATATTATAATTCATTGTTTATATTTTTCAACGGTATTTTAAATATCAACGGTATTGCGCAAGTTTTAAAATCTCAATGGTTTTTAATATATTGTACATGTCATATAAACGTTAAATAAAAAGGAGGTTAATTTCGAAGCTCTCACGGCATCGACATTACTATATTCTGTTTTTAAACCAGGAGGAGTAATTCAAATTTACCGCGTCATAACGCTTGTTTATAATTCGTCCAACGGCAGGCAAGTTTACGCCACTGTTATGAAATTTTGACATTTATGAAATTTTGTCCTTATTTACATTTCGTAGGTGAATTTGGTTATATCGGCGATTTTTTGTGTTTTCTGCATTATTCGTTTAGTTTTAGTTGTAGTCTGCAAAAAATTAATTAAATTTTGCAATAGTCTTTTCGTCAAATCAATCGCGTAATGTGCAAGAATACATCAATTAAAATTCAAACTGCTAAAAAGATGTTTTGTGGTGATTTTTAGCCACAAATTTAAATAAAAAAAAACTCTTCGTCTTTCTTATTTTTAACAATTTCAACAATATTATCCACTTTCAGTAACATTTAGGTTGTATGAATTAGAAATCAGTCTTAGGAATAAGAAAAATGCTTCGCCGGAATAGGAATATATGTACGTTATATTATGTTGAAAAATTTATATCAAAATAGAAAAATAACACTATTAAATTTTTTTAAATCAAGAACAAATCAAATCAGAAGATATTTCAGATAGTTGGAGAGAGTACCGGTGATTCCTATTCTCCTCCTAAAAAAATGAGGAACTTCTGCATAAGAATTTATTATATTATAGAAGAAGTAATTATCAAAAAAATACATTATAAAACTAAATTATGAATTACTTAACTAACTAAATTATCAAAAAATATAAAAAGGATTATTTATTAGAAATTAATGTTAGTATTAGTTTACGCATAAAATTGTATACAAAACACGACTTATAAGTAAAAACAAAAATTAAAATTTGAGAATGTATTTAGTGTCCGCAGTTATATAAACCCAAACAAACAACACGTTTTAAAGCTAATTATGTTTCCAAATTATTTATTTCCTATGTCCTTTTGTCTTAGATACTTTAAAATTTCTATTAATTATTTTTAATGTGTAATATATTCTTATTCTAGCCTATAATCTAATGAGATAGCCCTTTAGAAAATTGCTGCAAGGATGCGTATATGGTATTTTTTCGAATAAGCTAACGTAGTTTTGTAAGATTTTCGGTTGATGACTAAAATTTTGAAAATCCACTTGAAAAATAATTTCCAAATCTGTAACATACTGCACAAAATTTTGGCTCGGCATATAGAGCTTGCCAAAAACGTTTCTTTCATTACCACTGTAGGCTTTAACGTAACAAAACAGAGATGAATCGTGTAGTTCATCGTACTCTCTCCCATATGCTTCACAGATTAGACAAACATGTTTCCTAAGACTTGTGAATATATATATATATATATATATATATATATATATATATATATATATATATATATATATCACATATACATATATATCTTGTGAAGTTTTTCTGTAATTTATTTGAAGTTTGATATTTTTGGTCATCCAAAGTGTTTTCAGGAACCAAAGCAGTGGTTTCAGGCAGATAATCGTCGGTACATATATCGGTTAAATTTAACAAAATATGGCCTGCATCTCTTTCGCAATTTTCTGTACCGGAATGCATCATGTCTAAACAAAAATATCTTTTGAATGCTGCTGTAAATTATACCGGAGTAGGGTTAACACAATTGCCACCTTGCTGCCTGATTGAACCAAAAAAGGTTTCTAGCCAATCTTGATTCATCCGCCTTGTTAAAAAATAATCCATTCCATGTGACTGTAGTAGATTCCACAAATGAATCACTCCATTAATGGTTATTTTCCAACCATTAACATATTTTATTCTTGGTGTTACATTTTTAGCTTTAAAATTAATTACCTGTAAATTATTAAACAAACGGAAACACGCATTAAGAAATTCTTGCTAAGCATCGGTTCCTCTATACGGTCTTTGGTACTCAGTTGCTCCTCTTAATGAAGAAGGATTGAGCATATCAAATAAATTATTAATGTTCCTAATAAATCTTTCGGTTGTTGTTGCTTCCTCGACGAATACAATAAATCTAATATACAGATGCAGACCGGCAGCAACAGTGTTACTAAATATCTGAGAAGCATATTTCACTTTCATATTTTCAAAATTGTTAGGAGATATATGTAATTCGGTCAATTTTGGCGCTGTACGTATAGGATATTGTTTATCATGTTCGTAAAATTTTTTAATATATTCCCAAGAAACGATAATATCATCAATAACAAATTTGTTTCTTAGGAAATTATTATGAAGTGCTCTTAATAAATGAGGTGTATCAAATGAAAAGACAATTTTATTATTTTCATGATAAAAATATGATATATCGGCAGATATATTTAACAAATTTGGAAGTTTAAGATTATTAATACCACTTCGAATTTTACTCATGTTCAACTTCACAATAGTAACAATTATTCACAAAAAACTCAGTTTAAGCAAAATACGGCACTGTTAACCCGTACGTTTCTACGCGACTAGCAACGGAAGAATGGTTCTCGAGCGACTAAGAAATAAGCGCAGTCGCTCTGCGCGTTGACAGACTTTACTTCCAATTTTTCAGAGAGTGGTTCTACTGTGGAACCTCTTTATACTGTGCTACTGGGCAAAAAGCCTTTTCCACAATAAGCTTTGAGTGTGATTATATTTACAGATTTATCCATTGTTCTACCGACGAAGTGGACGAGTACAAACGCACCGGCCAAATGTCATCCCAAATCCTGGCCGAAGCGACCCGGAAAAATCAATTGCCCGGTAGTCCTCCGGTTTGCAATCAGTTCAAGAGGGGTCAGTGTCGACGGCCGTACTGCAAATACCGCCATATCACCAAGGATCAAGAAGAAGCTGAAATCGCTGGATTAGTAAACGTCGAGCCGAAGAAAGTACAATCTATCGTTCTTACCAATAACATGTCTGAACCTCAATTGGTCACGTTGGAATCACTACGAGGTATGTCATTTGTTTACTAGTTTTTATAGTAGATCACATACCAAATATTATGTTGATTAATTTTCAGGTGTATTTAGAAGAAACGGAATCACTTTTGATGACTACAAAGACGAAGGTCCGCCAGTAGTAAAAAGACGATTTATAACTACTCAGGAACCGGAAATTGTAGCGTGTGATATCGTCGAAACTAGTACGACGAGACCACTTTTCAAAGGATACTTCGCAGGGAATCCCCCGCCACCTATGTTGACCAGAGCTGATGCAAGGTAAAATATTTTTGGCTTTTTTATTTAGTAGAAAAATTAAACTAAACGTTTCTACAACGATAATGTGACTATCTATAGTATTTAAAATTAAAAATTTTTCTATAGGACACTAATGCTAGAAGAAGAAAACAACATATTGCACAAAGAAATAGCACAGTTGAAAAAACAGGTAATTATTTAAACCAAATTGTTGCTGTCTAGTCGTGCTGAACCTTTGTTTTTTTAGGTGTCGGATCTAACGGCCACCAACGAATTTCTGTTGGACCAAAACGCTCAATTGCGTGTCAGTGGCAAGCGTAACGGTACCGTCAACGTACCAGCTGTTAGTATCACCAACACCCCTACGCCCCAAGTAAATAGAACTGTTATCGCTAGTGTGGCAACAGTTCCAGTGTCTTTGGCTACTGTTTCGACTTGTAATCCAGTCTCAGGAAACCATTCGGTGTCCATAGCTGGTTGTCCAGCTGTCAGTATGGCACCAGCCCAAATTTTAGCTAACAGTCAACAAATATTGGGTAAGATGTTTGTTCTAAACACACTTCCATGTTTATACAATCTGTATGCAAGCATAAATCATAACAAAAATATTTTTCAGTGACTACAAACCCCACCACCCAACTAGCCATCGCGAACAGCTCTCAGGCACAACTGGCCATAGCTCAACAGAACCTCGCTACGAATCTAGCCGCTGCGCAGCAAGCGGCGCAACCGCAGCTGACTTCACAAGCTCAGCAGCTCGCGTTGGCCACTACTACGCAGCAGTTGACGTCGCAGGCGCAGCATATGGCCAATCAGCAGCTCGCTTTAGCCAGCGCTGCGGGACCGCAATTGACGACTCAAACGCAGCAAATAGCGTTGGCAAATAACGCGCAAGCGCAACAGCTGGCTCTGGCGGCAGGGACAAATCAGCAGTTGACGTCTCAAGCTCAGCAAGTAAGTTACCATTTATTTCATACACGATATTTATGTATAAGTTTATTTTTGATGTTTCAATTCCCATTTCGGAAACCTTTTTTTATTTATAAAAGTTAAAAAACTTCTTCGAAAAACACATGAAAGACAGAACATTGGACTCCAGATTTGCTAATTTCTCTGGTTTATTTAGCATTATAGATATTTAATGTTGTGTTAAAAACAATTTTTTCCTCTTTTCAGTTAGCGTTGGCCAGCACCAACCAACAGCTAACCTCCCAAGCTCAACAGCTGGCTCTAGCGAGCACCAACCAGCAACTCAACTCTCAACCGCAGCAGCTCACCGTAGCCAACGTCCCTCCCCAACTCGCACTGGCCAGCACCAATCAACAGTTGTTGGCCCAACAAAACCTGGCCTCAGAAATCCACAGGAACACCCAGATCAACGCGATCAGTACGTCTCAAGCGATCGCGATGTCGAACGCTGCGTCCCAGCCGATGGTTTCCTATCCGATAATGACTCAAAGTATTAACCACGCTCTTACGCATTAGTTGACGGGTTTTGTGGATTTGACCATAGATATCATTCCCATTGATAGGTTTTCTTAAATGCATCGTCTGCTTTCAGCAAGGAGCAACTCAGGTTTATATAGAGCTTTGTTCTGCTACCAGTAATGTCACATTTTTTTTATTTGAAAAAATTAGCATGGAAACTGACATTCTTTATAGTAATTTAATAACTTCAGACTTATTGTGCATTATACTTCTTCATTAATGTGATATTAATGACTCAAATCAAAAAAGACTTTAAAAAATGATCCATCATCGTTAAAAAAGTTATTATTAACATTAGAAAAAAAAAATTGTAAGGTTGTGAACTGGAGAGAGACATTTGATTAATGGTTAGTTTACTTTTATAGCCCGCTCGATGTATCTTAGCATATTTGTGATATTATTCAGAATATTACGTCTCTTTTCTACTCATGCAACTTCCAACTGAAAATAAGTCGCTTTTTCATCCACATTAGAGTATATTAAACAAGCAGCAATATGATGGTTTGGGCAGAAAGAGAACAAAGCAAGACGCACGCCAAAATAGCAACTATAAAATGGAGATATCGACGAAAGTGCATAAAATAGTATCATGGAGTACATGTAAACAAAATACTTGACACAATAGGAATAAATCAATATACTATTAGATAATGGTCAGTAGGACGACCACGAAGAAAATTCTGCATCGGCTTAACAAAACTATGAATTCCCGAAAGAAGATGCTGAGTTAGGCGAGATTATGTAAGTGGTGCTGACATAGTCCACACGCATCCCAGACTGCAATGTTTACAACGGTGTCGTAAGATATAGATTCCAAGAGTGTGTCGATTCTTTTTTGAACATGATTATAAATTTAAGTCATGTTTTATGAGAAAAACGGTAAAACTTATCTCCACAAATGATTATAACTCGATTGAAGTGGAACACAGTAAACTTTATAGATCATGACCTTTATACAATGTTATATACAAGCCATATTTACTATATTAGTCAAAACATTTATTTAATTGGACATATTATCTTACATCTTACAACACAAATGTCCATTACAAATTAATACCTTCTTACATCATCATATAAAGTTATTTAAATTTACTTTAGTAGTTTCTTCTTCTTAGAGTGCCGTCTCCCTACGGAGGTTGGCAATCATAATGGCTATTTTTATTTTAGAACTTGCTGCTCTAAACAAATCAATCGATCTGCATTGGTACCAATCACGTAGATTCTTTAACCATGAGTTCTGCTTTCGGCCAACAGATCTTCTTCCTTGAATCTTTCCCTGTATTATCAGTCTCAAAATTTCATATTTTGGTCCCCTCATCACGTGGCCTAGGTATTCCAGTTTTCTGGTTTGTATAGTGGTGATTAGTTCTGTTTCTTTACCAACCCTCTCCAGTACTTCTTTATTTGTAATTCTATCAGTCCATGATATTTTCAATACTCTGCGGTATAACCAGAGTTCGAAGGCCTCGATTCTTTTTAAATTACATTTTTTTAATGTCCAAGTCTCAGCTCCATATAATAATATTGAAAATATATAACAGCGAATGGTACGTAGTCTGATCTCCAAATTTAGATTTTTGCACGTTAGGAGCGGCTTCATTCGTATAAATGCTGATCTGGCAATCTCTATTCGTCTGTTTATTTCTACAGTATGATCATTGGTTTCATTGATCAAAGTTCCCAAATACTGCTATTTTTCTACTTGTTCTATCACGTTACCATTTATTGTCAATAGGTGATGTATATTTTGTGGCCTTTTTGTAATCAGCATGTACTTCGTTTTTTTAGCGTTTATAGTAATTCCCATCTCAGCACTATTTATACTCAAGCTTTCGATAAGATGTTGTAGATCCTCTATACTCGTTGCTATGATCACAGTGTCGTCTGCATATCTTAAATTATTAATTAATTTTCCGTTAACGGTGACTCCCGCTTCGATATTATTGAGCGTGTTTTGGAAAATTTCTTCAGAATATAAGTTAAACTGTGATGTCCTCTCGTAGGAGTCACTATCCGGGTAGGGTTTTGGCCTTTTTGAGTTGGTGCCTTGATGATCGCAACTAATCTCGCTCTTAGAAATTCCCTTCCGTCGGCTGTTCTCTGTTTGTTAATTCGGCTATAAGTTCGTCTTTCTTTAATAGGTACACCCAACTAACCTTCGAAGTTTCCGGAGCGTCTGTCATTTTTGAACTGTGAATCACCTTGTATTTGATTAAAATTTGAAATGTAGTACTGTCTCATGAAAATAAAATTCGGAATTCGGTCGGTATTATTGTTTAAAACGTATTTTTCTGCTCGGGCGCCATTTGTGATGTCCTCTCGTAGGAGTCACTATCCGGGTAGCTTTTGGACAGTCAGAGACAGAGTTCAAAATAAAAATAAAACTTTATTGTCTTCCTTAAATTAAATTGACAAAAATCTTATGTACATATTTACAATTTGGTTTAGTCTTCTCAGTACCTGGCCTATTTATTCAAATTAAGTTTGACCTTGTCATATGAAATTAGTCTTATCGGCAAGCGAGTGTGTATTTGAAATTTTACGGGAACGTTGTATCGATTTAATAACAGTGGACGATAGGTACAAAGAAAGGAAAGGAACTCAACACGTCCCTTAAGTGATTCGGGTTAATAGGACACTCCTCGACAGTCTCAACACGACTGCTTCAGAGTACGGGTAGTGAAGAGCTCAACACGCTCTTCGGGTAACGGCGGTATGGGACGGAACAACTTGTGAACTCAACACGTCCACAAGCCGGGGTAGGGAAGAAGAGAACCTTCAGTCAACACCTGTCGATTCTCTCTCTATGAGGAAATGTTGCGGTTTATATAGCGGAGCTTGTTAATTAGTTTTGCCCTTTCTACTGTCGATACACTCCTACTTCATGGGTTGGTTCGCGCGCACGCTGGTTTAACGGTGATGGCTTGGACTCATCGTTACAAAATAAAAGTGGTGATAACACACATCCCTGTCTAACTCCTCTACAGATCCTCATTTCTTCTGAGTGTTGCCCATCAATTTGAACTATGGCACTTTGGTTCCAATATAATGTTTGCACTATATTTATGATTTTACTGTCAATGTGCTTGTTCATAAGTATTGATATTAGTTTTTCATGTCTTACTTTATCGAAAGCTTTTTCGTAGTCATTTAGTAGTTTAAAGCAGTACAAAAAAAAGGTAAAAATTTACTGTGAATTTTTTGTTTCACTGTAGACTTGCGGATTCTTTTAATAGAAGTAAGGCTGTTTTCCAATATTCACGAAACTAAGGCAGGTTTTTCAGCAATAAAAAACCAAAAAAAAAATTTGTTTCCACTCCCATCTCTGGATTAATTTTTTTACTTAACTTTTTATGGACTGAACTGGAAATTGTTGATACTAGGGCACAAAGCCTCAGTACTTGAAGTATACTCGAATAGCGACTTGTTTAAAAGCTCGACGGGTAATAATTTCAATTACCACACATGTATGATTTTTGTTGGTAAAACAAAACTCCCCGCTCTCGTAACGAATTATATCTAGCTAGCGATTGGTGGAATTTAGAGCAATCTGGCAATTTGTAAACAAACATTTATTGTGCATATCTAAACGCACTACTTATAGAGAAAATGATTTAAAGAGGACACGATTCAGTACAATTAAGACTTTGTCGTGCAAATTAAATGTTCTTTTAAAGATTCTGAGATGCCATTCGAATGTTAATGATAAACTACTGTTGGAATATCGCACCCTGAGATGACAAGTGTCGTATCTTCCAAAACCAAGTTTCAAAATAATCGAATTTTAAAGATTGCCACGGTTGCAGTAATTTTAATATTGTGTATAAGGTTACCACACATTTTTCAAATACTTATTGTAACAATTTTGTACCTCAAAAGCAATTCTTTTAAGTAAATGAATTACTTCTTTAGTTGTAAATAATTAAATAAAAACATGGGATGGAGCATACAACAGTTTAATATTAGAAAATAAATGCACTACAGGATAAATTTTTTTATTAATAATTATAAAAAATTGAACAAAAATTATGATAATTTGTAAATGAATGACAAAAACGCATAACATATCAAAGAATATTTATACTGGATTGGACAAAACTTCCTCTTCTTCTTCTTCTTCTTCTTGTAGTTCAACAACAAAATTATTGTGCTTATTATTGCTTACCAATGATTCATAGAAGTGTGCATGGGACTTAGGTATATGATTTTGTTTAAGCAACCACAATAAATCATTTTTTTTTCAATCGAAATTCCAGGTTGGGTTGCGTACATTGGATCTAATGTTGAAGTGCAACCTTTTTTTCTTCCTCGGCTAGTAACTGTCTTCATTTGTATTTTAAAAAATTCCTTCTGCTTCCATGATGTTTTGTAAAATATTACATTTGGTTGGCGTTTTTCCACCATTAGCACATTTATTTTTAACCACTCCACCTTGTCCTTCTCTGTGTTAAGAGAAAAGTTAAATCCTCCAGCTAATTTCTTAAAATTATAGAAGTCACTGAAGTGTAATTCCTTCACAGCATAAGGATCTCCAGTTTTTTTGGCTGCACTGACTATACCAGAAAATTGTGAAGGTGTGTAGATAGGTGAACTCTTGAGACTTCTCCTACACTGACGTTCAATGCAGGAATGCATGGAATCACCTGAATTCTGTGTATGGCCAACTGTCAGATATTTGTGAGTTATGGTCTCCAGAGATTTACTATTTTGTAGAACATAATTGTACATCGTGGCAAGAAATTTGTTTTTATTTTGAGCTGAGCAGTTATCTGAAAAAAATATTAAGTGTTTTACCTTTTCATCAACATGCTCCTGGATATAATTATAAACGCAACTTGCTATCTCTATCGCTCCTTTTTTTCCACGATTCTCATCCCATATGTAACAGAATCCTGCCTTTGAAACATTCTCAAAAATTGTAAAGTTGTAGGTATTTAAACGGCGTTTGTAGAAAAAGCTGGACACGTCACCTGATGGTAATGGAATTATAGCCTGTAAATCATATTCACATACTTTGATTTCTTCTGCCAGTTTGGCGCGCTTTACATCCTCGGATCTTTCTTCTCTCGATAACTTTACGTTTTCTCGATGAAGTTGATAATTTACATCTCTATTCTTCTTCTCAAGTTCAGTACAATTAATATACTGATGGCAGGTTGCACACTGGTCCTCGCGAGGCACGAAAAATCCAATATTAAACTGGGTGTTAAATATGTGCCTATATTTACTCTCTTTCAAAACAGTATCTTTATGATCATCCTGACATTTCTTCTGATACAGGCGATACATTTCAGCGAGTGTTAACTGTCCATCGATGTACTTCCTTCGCGTTTGAGCACGAAGATAGTGAGACTCCACTACCGGAAAGGAATCAATATGCTGTCTGGCATACCCTACAGCACCTGGTGGTAAAGTTCCATGGCTCTTATGTTTTCCACGTTCATCATCACAAATAATGCCAGATTCATCAACTTTGTTCCATGCGGTATAGACATACCTTTCACTGATCCCAAACGTATTAAGAAAAAAGGTTTTGCACACTTCTACATCATTACCATTTATCGGCAGCACATACTTATAATTATTGCACCTAATCTGTTTGCTGTGGTGAGATAGAAGTTTCTTCGATGTCTTCT